ATCATTGGGCCTGTCACTCACAATTTTGCTCCTGCAAGGTTGTTTCTCTTCTTTGCATGTATGATAGGTGCAATGGTAGTACTAGATACTTATACAGAGTCAAGAAAGAATCAAATACTAACAGAGACAATTTTGCTTCATGAGGGGATACCTCCTAACATGAGCAACATATTCATCCTGTGACATGTTCTTCATTGTTTCTAATTCTCTCTCATAATCAGAGACCTGAACCAATCATTTTGATGATTAGAGATAGCAGGCATGTAGAGAAGTATATGCTAGCCAATAAAACACCATAAAAAGAAAAACATCATAAAAAGAAAAGAAAATGAAAGATTACATGAGTAGCAAGCTTACAGGGAAGTTGAGCTTAGCACTTGGGGTTGGACCCCAGTACTTAAGAGCTGCAAGATCATGTGCCCTTGCCGCCTTCTCCTCAGAATCATAGCTTCCTGATGCAAAGCCAAATTTATAAACTTCTGCTGACACATGGAAACCAATAAAAAGTGCGAGCTGAATCATAGATGTTATCTCTTACCTAAATACACTGAAGAACCATTGCACCAAACACACGAACAGCAAAGCAAAGAATAAATGAGTTAGATAACAACAATAGTTGATGAATCAGTAAATAAATACTAAAAAGAACATGGCTATACACCTTTTCCCCTAATGTATGTATATTTTTATCATGAACCCGTACATTTTGGATTTTTATCATACATCAATGAAAGAAACAAAGGATAATCTGCAAAACGATTAGTTTCAGCAAGCATAACATACTTTATCATATAAATTATTTAAGGTAAATAAAGGGATCCCCATTTGCAAGTGTCTCGCAGACATGACGGTCAAGATGAATGTTGTGTAGTCGGTCAGGAATAAAGTGTTCATCAGGCAGCGACTGTTCGATGAAAGTACTTGAACAAACAGAAGGGAGGTAGCGGTAGGGGTGAGATTATTTCGTGAAAGATATCGTTTAGGTTGGCGACTTGGGGTAGTGACTCAGATTTGAGGTCATGACTTGGTGATTTGGTAGAATCCCTGTGGTACATGGTTGGTATTTTCACCTTGGAGATTCAAGACCATCACAGACATTAACTGAATCCCAAGGGTGTTGACCACCAAACATCCACGGTTTGCAGTGGTTTTCTTGATCACAGGATGATGCGGCTATGATACCATTTTTAGAATTTAATGGTGCACTTCTGAAAGCAAGTTGTTTGGGAAGAAACCCAATTCTACATAAACCCACTAAAAACCACCTTGATCTATATAATCAACGAGGACCTAAATGGATCCTAAAATACCACCATGCTTTTGTATTCCTGATGCCCATGTAAACTGTTGTTGCACTAGCCTTGTCCTGATATAACAATGCATAGGCTTTACCATTTGAACACTAAACTAGTATTGGTACAGTGAATAATGCAATACCAACATCACCAGCCACCAATGCTTAATTGCAACCAGGAGACATTGGGTTGGCTCTATAGAGTCTATACTACATGATGTCCACCTGCATCAGGATGAACTCGAAGATTCTGAAAAGTGTATGCCCATACCAACATAAACCCCAAAATTAACATGAAATATGTAAAAATTAGAAGGAAATTTTAGCAGATTTAAGGAAAATAACTTCAATGCAAATTAAGGACTATGATTAGAAAATAAAATAAATCAGTCAGATTTCTTCCAATCCACTGCAGACAGGGCACCTACATTTGTCTCAGTTCCACTAAAGTATGACCCCCACTAAAATGCATAATTTCACACCAATCCACAACCAGCCGTGACTAGTGCATGAGTAAATACCATACTATATCAAACTTTTAAGTAACACCAAGTGCTAATTTGAAGTCACAGGAACAAAGATATTTCATTAGAATTTTGGATGTACAGGCTAGGTATGGCTAGAATTCTAGAAGCTCAAAACGATACCAAGAAAAGCGCAATGGTCGCTCTATGTGGGAACAAAGGAGATACATATATTATGCAAACAAGACGACATTTAATGGACTTGAAGGTGGGAAAAATTCATGTAGCTGGTCCCTAAACAATTTGCCACTTTAGCATGTGATATGTAACCCCCCCCGCCCCCCCCAACCCAAGCAGCGGCACCCCCAAAAAACGAAAAAAAGAAAAAGAAACCCCCACCACCCCACCCCAACAAAAAAAAAAAACTCCAAGCTATTCTAAAAAACAATTAAAGAAATTAGTAACTAACCTTGAATCCATTGCGAAAAGTAAACTGCCAATTTAAATCGCCCAAACAATAAGCCGCACGCTGCGCGCACCTTAAGTACATTCCTGCTTCGCATATATAGTCTTTCATGATATTTATATGTATTTTTAGGCGTAAATAGAACTTTGCTTAACCGCCCCGCCCCCCCCCCCACCTAAAAAAAAAAAAACCCACCAAATAAATAAAATTCTCAATCACCAAATAAAATAAAATTAAATTCCTCGATCCACCATTGACTAAAGCGAAACATTTTTTAAAAAACAACGATTTTTTCAAATTTAATAGGACAAAAAGCGCGACCGTTCTAATGCAAAAAATTGGAACAAAATCGAGCCATTTTTATGCGACAGTGCGACTACTAGTCCCGCCTGCCAAAAATGCCCGCGATTTTCACCAATAAATCACCCGCACGCTCCTCTCCTTCAGCCCCTTCTCCCTCATCTCTCTCCCATGCCTCCTCCACATCACCGCCGGAGCTCAGCCAGACCCCGCTGCCCAGCCCTCCCACCCACCGCCCTCCTCGCCCAGCTCGGCGCCAGCTCGGCGACCGATCGGTCATCTGGACGCAGCGGCGGATCCTGCATGCGCAGCGTTGAGGTCTTGAGGTGGCGGCTTGCAGGGCCCTATCAGAGCTTGGAGATGGTGCCGGCTGGGGGAGAGGCACTTGTAGCGGGCGTGTGAGTGATGGAGGTCGGCCGGCAAGTTTGGGCCGTCGACGATTGAGGAGATGGAGGCGTTTGAGAGAGGGCTTGGCCTGCTGGAGGAGTGAACGGGCGGAGCTTTGGTGGAGGTGACAGAAGGGGGAGAGAGGGGATTCGTTGGTGAGGCCGATGGAGGAATACGAGAGCAGCAAAACCGACCCAAAATGTGATCTATTGGGAAAATCGACCATTTTTTGCACGGGACCAGTCCCGCGCAAAAAATGGTCGATTTTGCCGATTTTTTTATTAGGCGGTCGGTTTTGCTTATTAAATTTGAAAAAAGGTCGGTTTTAAAAATTTGTCCTTGACTAAATATCTGTCATAAAATATTGGGTGTACTCATCACAAAGATGTAGCTCAATCTAGCTCACCTTATCGAAACCAAATGAAGCAAAACTGTATCTCATACATCAAGTGAGAGCCCCAACAAATCCTAATTCAAACATGATATCTCCCACCATTTCTAGGTTGATAAAATCCTACAACTGCAGTCAAATTGCATACCATACCATGCTTTCCTTTCCGTTTCCTTCCTTCTACTTGGCTCGTATTGTCCCAGAGATGCGCTTCAAACTTCCCGCTCCATTTCAACCTGCAATCAATCTCACAACTCATCCCATTTTTCCAAAATGTACAAAAATCATACATAAATCAAAACTAACTTATATAACATATCTTTTGATCCCATGATAAAGCTCACTTTGTAACTCCGTGATAACACGAAGATCTCGGGACTGCATACTTCTTCATCGCCGCAGCTAGACCTTCTTTCCCCACTCTTTGGCGGCCGCAACCGCCACAGTCCACGTCCAGCAGCTCCCCTCTCCCCTTCTAGAAGCTTCTGCCACGTCAGCGCCGACGCCTACGATCTCCCGCGGCCGATGGCACTCTTTTCCGGCGATCGCCGGAGACGGAGTCGATCCGTCGAGTTCTCTATTCTCGACGCGCTCTGAGGTTTTAGATTCCAGAATAAAACTGGATCCGATTGCATCCGTATCTTCTAGCGGATCGCTCATTGATGCAAACGTCTATACAAAATTAGTAATTATTAAAGAATCGTTTGAGGTTGAAGCAGATCGAAGCATGAAGAAAGCTGAAATTGAGTAATTTGGGGAATAAAATGAATGAAGATCTTTATACCTTTTAAGCGAATTGTAAACCCTAGTTACGAGGGGAGATCGAGTTCTTGAAGTAGATGGACGGATTCCTTCGAGCCGCGGGGTTGAGAGTGCGGTGACGTTTTACCGGGCGCGACGAGATCGCAACGGGCGTGAGCGGGGAGAGGCCTTTGCAGCGGAGGGGGGAGTGAGTTAAAAGATCGGCGGTTGCGCAGATCCTAAAGCACAGGGTTTGAACATGAAGCCACACGAATCTTAATGCAGAGGGCGAGTCATCAGATGAATTTTTTTTTTTTTTTTTTTTGGTGATTTGACGGTGGAAAGCACCCTTAAGAATATTTCCGAATTATTTCGGTTTGTCTATGTTTAATGTTAGGGTTATTTGCGTATATACATGAGCATTTATAAAAATAACCTCCAAAACTCAGTATTTGCAAAATTACCACTCAAACCATAACTTTTGATTAAAAAAATTACCCTCAAACCAATTAATCGTTAACTTTGATAAGCTAATTTGTAACGGCAATGTAAAGATTATGAACAAAATAATTAAATTTTTAGCACCAAGATGGTGATTTGTTAATTTAAAAGATATTTTTCGCAAATTAGATGATTTGAGGGGTATTTTGGCAAATACCCATGATTTTTTTTTGCCTAGGATAAGTGTTTAATATTCTATAAGAAAACTAAGGGCTTGTTAGGGAAACCATTCACTTCCATTCATCTTGTTTGGGAACACTTAGGAGGTGAAGTTAATTCACCCTAGTTCCCCTTGGTTCATCCTCTAATAGTATAAAATTTGTTACCCCCCAAATTGGGGTGTAACCAAGGGGAAGGGAACTCCCTTCCCTTCTCTCAGTTTCCCTTAACTTCTCTTCACCCTCTACAAATCCAAACAGAACATAAATATCTCGGAAGGGTTGACATTTTTATATTTTATTTATTACTTACATCCGTACATTTACAAGTTTGCATGATATTTATGTATGTACAATTGTATATAATAATCAACAATTATTTGCCCGTGCTCACACAGGTGAGTCTTAAATGTAGAAGGAAACTGAACCCACGACATGAGCTTGGAAGGGTGAAAGTCTGATTACTTTTATTTTTATATATGATGTTTGATCTCTAGTGTTTCTTCTTTAGTTATATGCATACGCTTCTAAATTAAATTGAACCTTTTTTTTTTGAGCTGATGCTTTTCTTTTCTATTTTTTATATATACTCCTTATTTTTTTATGGATATGAACATAAAATGGCTTACACAAATGACTTATAGCATACGTATTATTAAAAATTAGATAATCTAAATTGCAGGTTTTTCTTCAAATTGTTTGAAATTTAAAAGAAATTTAAAACAAATGGTGGATGAGTTTTATTTCAAAAATTGAAATTCAAAGTTAGATAGTATAATATCCTCTTTATTTATACTATTCTGATATAAAAAGAGAAAAAGAAAAAACCAAGTGGAGAATGAGCGTGTGGGTATTTTTTATTTAAAAGTTCCAAAATTAAAGTTAGATAGTTTAACCATCAAGCTCTCATTTGTAATATCTTTTCTTTCTTCTAATATTTAAAAAATAAAACAAGATATATAAAATTTGATGCTCCATATTATCACAACACTAAAATATCTCTTCGATGTTGGAACTTTGGAGGTTTTGCTAGCTAGTAATGTCATCTTACGTTGATGTTTTATTATAAAGTTTTTGAGATTTAGTATGAATTAAAGAATATATTGAGTTAAACCTGTGCGATAGGAATCAATCAAATAAAACATCACAATTACATGAGATTTATAGGCTTAACATATTGATTTAATCTAAAGCAATATCACATGTATACCTCAATGTGGTGATGCTTGCATTAGAATTTTAACTTAATTAGAAAATTATATGTGGTTTTAAAATATCCATAAAATATCTTAAGAAAATATTTATTTTTAGAATAATATTAAGAACTCATTGGAGATAATATTTTGGGCAATGTGTAAATAATATGTTTGATTTTTTCAAATCGCATGAAATATTTTTGTAACAAGAAAGTTTTTAATTTTATAAACCTTTACATATTCTATGTTTCTTATGGTGTTTTGTGTTCTATTAATATTTTAAAGAGAGACACAGGTGAATGGAAAACCCTTCTTTATAAAATCAGTAAAGACACGATATCAAATTAATAAATAACAAAAAATGAATAAATTCATCGAATATTTAAAAAGGAAGACTAATGCATCAACTTTAAATACGATTTACCACACATATAATTTTGCATATATGATTTTAGGGTTAACATTAGAAGAACCCCTCAATTATGGTGGATGTCTTAGAAAATCCCTCTCAACTAATTTAATGAGAAAGTCACCCTAAAGTTTGGGCATTTCATAGATAATTCCGCTCAACTTTGAAAATCAGAAAAAAAAACTCTATTAATTATGGGGTGTCCCACAAAACACCCCTAAATCTTTCACACTTTTCTCACCAAACGCCTTTAAAGTCATTTCAAAATATAAAATAACTTAAATACCCCAATTACAAAGAAATCTCCAACTTAAAAAAGGAACTATTTTGAATTTGCAATGTGTTGTACCCTCTTTCTCCTCTCTTTCCTCTCTTTCTCTTATCCTAAAAAATCGAAGTAATTATTTATGTCTGAAGTGTATTTTGATCTTTTCTTAATCCTCTACTTATCATGTGATATGCTATACATAACAATAATAACTTTCAGTGAGTAAAATGAGAAGAGTTCATGACTCTTTACATGAGTTTTTTTCCTTTAATTTCTATATTTGAATATATAACTACTAGATTTTTAAGTATGTTTAGTTACAATCTAATAAAAATTACAAAATATTTGATTTATTAGAAATTTTCGCTACCCGCGGGTTTTTTTTTTTTTTTTTTGCGTGGGCGGGGGGGGGGGAGAGTGTTTGTATTTACAAACATGTCAAAACCTTTTGCACGATATTTTCTCAAATTAAAAAGTTAAGGGGGCCGCTTGCTAAAACTAATTCATTAATTTTATGTAGAGGAGACACTTTACATGAGATTTTTTTTCTTTAATTTCTTATATTATATATATGTGTATATATATTATGTATATATATAGTCTGTGTATATTATATATGTGTATATATATTATATATATATATATAATATTATTATATTATATATATATATAATATATATATATATATTATATTATATATATATATATATATATATACTATATATATATATAGTATTATATGCAGATTTTTTTAATTACAGATAGTTATAAATCTGACGAGAATTACAATAAGATTTAATCATTAGAAATTTCTAATTATAGATAGTTTTAGTTTGCTGAGAATTCTTAAGTGAGTATAAGGTTGTAGGTTTTCACATATCATCTTCTGACGTGATAAGAGACACATGAATACTTAAGATATGACACATGTCAACTTTTTGTGTCCATATAATATAACACATGTTAATTTTATGTGCCCTAAAGAATTCCACCAATATATAAAGGATTATTAGAAATTTCTAATTATGGATAATTTAAATTTGATGAGAATTCTTAAGTGAATATAAGATTATTAGGGAAAGGAAGGTATAAGTGTCAATCAGATAAGGAAGGCTAACAAATAATAAGGGAAGTAAAGAGAGAATATAATAACTTGTTCAACAGTTTACTAAGGGGAAAAAAGGCAAATTATTTTCACTTCGTTTGGGAAGCCAATTCCCTTCTCCTTGGCCACCCCCCAAATCGATGGGTATTTGGGTAAAGAAAAGTTTCTATTTGAGAGGAACTTGTAACCTTAATTATTCTTCACTCCCATCCCTTACCCTACTTAAAAAACTCTCAAACAATGTTAATTCTTACCCATATCCAAACAGAGTACAAGGAATTCCGCAAATTTCTCTTTATATATAAATTATATATAAAGGAGGTTTAACACTCCCAGAACAAAAAAGCAACAGAGAAAAAAATAAACAAATAAAAAAGGCTAGTTCATGGAGGCACGGCACGATCAATGGGTAACATGCTATAGGAATCAAACTATATAGACACCATATTTCCTACCGTGTCCTTTCCATTCATGAAGCAAATACTTTCAACAGAGAAGAAAACTTGAACCTAGAAGAAAAAAGGCTAGGAAATACTTCTACGACGAAAAAAAAATAAAAAAATCTCTCAGCTGTTGATAAAGTTTCCAATGAAGAAACAATGACTAATATAAATACCCATCAGATAAGCGAATCCAATTCTGTGATACGCAGATCCAAATGCGGACCGAGCAAAAACCTAGAAATATATGATTGATTAATTTTTTGACAGCGAAGTAAATACCACATTCAGGAAATTTTTGTATCCACATTCAAATATGAAGGAGACCAGGATAATAAGCACAGTGTTTATGTAGACACAGTATCCCAAACTGGAAGAAAGTAGTCACCAAGAGAGGCCAACGTTTGCCATAAATGAAACCAGGACAATATTAGATACACGGTCTATTCATCTCATGGCAATGCCCTTGGTGCATCACCAAATACAGTTTCTGGCAGTTCTTGCAGCTACGAGATGGGAACCTGTCAAGAGTTTGTGGATTCAAGAAGAGGTCTCGACGAATAGTAAGAAAGACACGGGCAATAATTCTCATACACGTGCATTCACAATTCGTTCCCTATGATCCCAAGGAAGATAGATTATATACCCATATATAACGATGCAATGTCATAAATTTGAAAGACACAGTGCATCGGCACAGCTGTCAGCATAAACAACACCAATGATAAAAGGAACCTAGTTTCAGCACTATGTTGGTTAAGTTTTAAAAATGGTTGTCAGAAAGATTAAGCAGAGAACGAAACATTTTTGACACGTCTACCAACTGCAGCTTTTTATTAAGTCCTGTACAGAATGAGGGTCATCAACTATCTAATGAGATATGGAGGGGAGCGGATTTGAAATATCTCATGTGCTTTCCTCTGCCTCCTCTGTATCATCACTGACTGATCTGCTTATCAGATCTTGAGCTTCAGGAAGAGGGGAGCCTTTGGCATCCGCGGCATAAAGTATCTTCTTGATTGCTCTCGTCATCTGCCACAAAACATCGAATGAAATAAATAACAGTGAATTCATGCAATTGTTCATCTTCTTGGGCAAATGTTTATCTCATTTGATATACTGAGATTTCACCTCAACATGTACTAACATTATTATAACTTCTCAATAGAAAGATTGACTAGAATGAACGATTGGAGCACTTATCTTCCTACTAACCACATCAGGAAGCCACCTGGAACTTCCTATTCATCAAATTTTCAGAACCGTTGGCAATTAATGATTGCATCTAGCAAATAACTTATGGCTATACAATTCTTTTCAGGATGAAAACTGATTATTGTAGAAAGCAGTGTTCAATGTTGCATCTTCTCTTTTCTTTTCTTTTGTCTCTGGTGAGTACATTCTTGTAGCAAAGTTCATGCAAATGTTGATGTGATTTGGACTAAATTATAGGGTAATCCTGCCTATCTATAAAAACTCGAAAGATTTATGTAATGTGTGGATATTTACCAGCAATTTTTTTTTCTGTTAAGGAAGATCAAAGTGTCACTACTGACCAAATTACTTTTACCTCTATAAGAACCAAATGATAATGGACATGACCAAATGAATTACAAGCGTCTACATGCTTATCTTTCTTATTGTGAGCTTGAGGATTGAGTGATCATCCGGTTGATGTAAAAGAAAGAAACAAAGCACATGTATTTCAAGTCAGATGATCAAGTTCAGCAGAAATATATAGAACTTGTATTTTACATCTAAAAGAAAGCACAAACTTTAAATTATTGAAGCTGGCCAGTCTCAGCTTCCTGTACTGAAGAAGGGGAACAAAAAAGACTACAGTAGACCATGATACATGTAAAGAAAGCAATGATTTAAATAAACTTTGACAATAAGATGTCCAATCTCATTTAGATTGAAGTCTTGGGTGGTAGTGGTGCCGGGGTGGGGGGTCGATATAGACTGTTACTTAAATACATGATAACATGTATTTTTATCATTGTTAACCTCTTTATCATTCAGAGTTTGCTCATCAATTGGCAGTACAAAAAGATATCTCCATTATAAAAAATTACAGGTCGAAAGATTTCGGTAACATTGTGCATATGTAGCTTTCTATAACTTGTCAAAGAACCTTGGGGCTTATAATGCAATTGGTCCCGAACTGAACTCAAGCCTTATTTATCTCTAGCACATTTGCCTCTGAATGGAAATTATGCATAAATTTGAGTGTTCTCCTTTACAGAGAAAGGATATCATGCTAATAACAGTTAAAACAAGATCCCTGTATTACCATTTAATTCTGATATTGGGAAAGAAGCATCGACTACGTTAGAAGAATTGCTAAGATTTGAATCAATGAGTAAACACAGTTATTACACCTGAACAATTACTTACTGGTAGATACTCCAATTCAGGCCTCTGGCAAAGTATTTCAATGTCCCGCAACTTCTCATAATAGAAATCTCTTTCTTTCTCCATGTTACCCAATGATAGATTAATATCTGCCATCTAAAGAGTTAATAAAACAGAAGTATTAGTTTCTCCATGTTACCCAATGATAGATTAAGATCTGTCATCTAAAGAGTTAATAAAACAAAAGTATTAGTTACCATACATTAAGGGAAAGTGACATCCATTTACATATTCCATAACTTAAATGACATCCCCACTTGTTGAACAAACATAGGATGAAGTAGGTAAAGTCAGGTCTGTTGGGACAAACTCGGGGCCCAATAGAGCAGGGTCACAGCAATAGTAGAGCAAAAGTAGAGATAAAATGTTGGACACACAGATTTACGTAGTTCGACACTTGATTGCCTACGTCCACGGGCAAGGATAGAAGAATTCACTATGAGGAGAAAACTCTGGAGTTACAATCTCTCTTTCTAAGGAGATACTCTCTCTATTTTTTCTCTCACTCTCTTTTATATAAGAAGTTTTTTCTGGGATGAGATTTCCTTAAGGATTTGAAGCCTATTTATAGTTTTTGGAAAAACACTATGCACAATATTTCTGGGATGAGATTTCCTTAAGGATTTGAAGCCTATTTATAGTTTTTGGAAAAACACTATGCACAATAAAATATTAATATTTTACTGTAGCTGTGTTGAAGCCTATTTATAGTTTTTGGAAAAACACTATGCACAATAAAATATTAATATTTTACTGTAGCTGTGGGGCCCGCTCTTTTGTTTTCTTTCAAAAAAATCAACAAAGGCTGCATTGGATGAAAAAACGTGGGCGGCTGCTTCTTTCGGTGCTGTGTCTTTGTTAGACGCATGACAATCTCCCACTTGAAGATTTGATTGAGCATCAATCATATCTTCACATCATTCTTTCTATCTTGTCATCTTCATGTTGCTTACGTTTCAGACAAATCACAGGAGGATCGACACCAAATAAATTTGTCAGTACTGACTGCTTTTGTCAAAAAATCTGCTAGGTTGTCTTTGGTGTGAATTTTCTGCATATCCACTGTTCCTTCTTTCACTTTCTCACGAACGAAGTGATACTGAACTCGAATGTGCTTGGTTTTTGAATGAAAGGCTGAATTTCTTGCCAAATGCAAAGCACTCTGACTGTCACAAAATAGAGAAATCTTCTTTTATTCATAGCCGAGTTCCTCCAGCACCATCTTCAACCACATCGCTTCTTTACTGGCTTGTGTAGCTGCTACATACTCTGCTTCTATTGTTGAAGTAGCCACAACTGACTACAGTTTTGAAACCCAGCTTACAGCTCCGTCAGCAAGTGCAAACACATAGCCTGTGGTGATTTGCTATTATCACGATCACCTGCATAATTAGAATCAACATATCCACTGACAATAAAATCAGATCCCCCATAACATAATGTAACATTTGAGGTTCCTTGAATGTATCTTAGAACCCTCTTTACAGCATTCCAATGCTCTTTACCAGGATTCGTCATGTATCGACTAACCACTCCCACTGCTTGTGCAATGTCTGGTCTTGTACAAATCATCACGAACATTAAGCTTCCCACTGCTGATACATACGACACTCGAGACATCTCCATCCTCTCTTCTTCACTGCTAGGACACATCGTGGAGGATAACTTGAAATTAACAAGAAGTAGGGTAGAAATTGACTTACAATCTTGCATGTTAAAGCGTCGTAAGATTTTCTTCAAATAGTTCTTCTGAGAAAGCCAAATCTTCCTATTAACTCTGTCTCGGTAAATTTGCATCCCTAGAATCTTGTTTGCAGATCCTAAATCTTTCATTTCAAATTCCCTAGCCAACTGAGCCTTTAATTCTTAGATACGATCTTTGTTGGGGCCTGCAACCAACATGTCGTCAACATACAACAATAAGATAACAAAGTTATTTTCACCAAACCTCTTGAAATATGCACAAGGGTCTGAATTAAGTCTGTTGTATCCAAGGCTCATGATGAATGAATCAAATCTCTTATACCAACACCTCGGCGCCTGCTTTAGACCGTACAGAGATTTGTTCAATCTGCAAACCAAGTTCTCTTTTCCTTTTTCTTCAAAACCTTCTGGTTGGAGCATGTAAATTTCTTCTTCAAGATCTCCATGAAGAAATGCTGTTTTCACATCTAGCTGCTCTAGATGTAAGTCAAATATAACGCTCATAGCCAGGACTATTCGGACTGTTGTTAGTCGAACTACAGGAGAAAATATTTTATTAAAATCAATACATTCTTTCTGAGCATATCATTTTACCACCAATCTAGCACGATATCGCTCCACTTGATCATCGCCATTTCGCTTGATCTTGTAGACCCATTTGTTTCCAATGGTCTTTCTTCCTTATGGCAGTGACACAAGTTCCCAAGTCTTGTTCTTATGGAGAGCTTCAATTTCTTCCTGCATTGCTGCCATCCACAAAGATGCATCTGTGCCATTTATAGCTTCATGAAAAGTTGATGGCTCTCCATCTTCTGTTAGAAGACAGTATGCAACATTACTCTCCGTAATATACTCCGAGTGCCAAGTCGGTGGTCTTCTCTCACGAGTTGACCTTCGAACTTCTGGAGCCTCGGACTCGACCGGTTCTTGTACATCATGCTCCGGTGTTGCTTCAGAAGAATTCAGATTATCTTCTACCTGAACAACTACAGTCTCTGAGTCCTTCCTCAAACTGATTTCTTTCTCTTCACTTTGTAGTTGGTTCTCTACAAAGATAACATCTCTGCTGATGATAACCTTGCGGATAGTGGGATCCCACAGGCGATACCCCTTTACTCCATCAGCATACCCCAAGAATATGCATTTTCTGGATTTTGAATCCAGCTTTGTAATTTCTTGGGCATTGTACATTACGTATACTGGACATTCAAATATATGGAGGTTGGAATAATCAGCTGGCTTGCCAGTCCACATCTTCATTGGCGTCTTTAATTGTATTGCAGTTGATGAAGATCGATTCATCACATAACAAACGGTTTTTACTGCTTCCGCCCAAAAGAATTTTTCCAGATTTGCAGTTGCCAACATAGCTCTTGTTCTTTCCAACAGAGTTATGTTCATCCGCTCCGCCACTCCATTTTGTTGAGGAGTATAAGCCGTACTGAATTGTCTTTTGATGCCTTCATGCTTGCAGAATGCTAGGAATTCACCGTTTGTGTATTCTCCTTCATTATCTGACCTCAAGCACTTGATCTTCTTCTCAGATTCAAGCTCGACCCGCGCTTTGTAGTCTTTAAAGACTGAGAACACATCCGCCTTCTTCTTGATAGGATACACCCAACATCTCCTGGAGTAATCATCAATAAAGGACACAAAGTACTTTGCTCCTCCTAAGGATGTAACTGGTGCTTGCCATACATCAGAATGAACCAGTTCCAGAATAGCCTTGTTTCTAGAACTCTATGTGTTGAACTTCAGTCGATGCTGCTTGCTTGTAACATAATGCTCGTAGAATGGAAGAGCTACTGAATTAAGACTAGGAAGCAGCTTCTGATCGGAGAGAACCTTCATGCCTCGTTCTGACATGTGGCCTAGCTTGAGATGCCACATCATGGTTTGTTCTTCTCCACTGCTGGTTGATGCCACACATGAATCAGTTTCCTGCAGAGTTTCTTCCTTGAGCATGTATAGATTTGCAGCTATCTTTTCTCCTTTTATCACCACAAGCGCCCCTCTAACAATCTTCATGATCCCATTTTCGATATGGGTCTTGCACCTGAGCTCATCTAATTGTCCCAAAGACAATAGATTCTTCTTCAAGCCCTTCACATGTCGCACATCTTGAATGGTGCATATTATACCATCAAACATTTTAATTTTTATAGTACCAATACCACAAATCTCCAAGGCATGATCATTCCCCATGAATACAGATCCTCCTGAGATAGGTTCATATTTGTGAAACCATTCTCTCCGAGAGGTCATGTGCCAAGAGGCTGCTAAATCTAGAAACCAGACATCAACAAACTTCTTTCTGCCTTCATCAACAGTGGTTGTTTCACTGAATAGAATTTCACCATTGTCTGACGTACTGACAACGCATCCTTAAGATGTTGATGGCTCTGAAGACTTTTTATCTTCACTCTTCTTATTGTGCCAACACTCCAATTTTACGTGCCATCTTTTGCCACAGTTGTAGCATTTGATATTCTTCTTACTTCGTGATTTCGATCTACCATGGGCATGACTCCCACTGGAACCACGTTCTGTTGATCTTCCTCTCGTCACCGACAAGACCTCCGCTTGCTGCGAACTTGACTGCCTGTCTTCCTTGTTCTTGCGCCGATTTTCTTCCTCCAGAACAGCGGCTGCAACATCGTCGAAGACTAGATTGTCCGTAAGGACGTTGTTTATCAGGTTGATGATGAGTTGATCATACGAGTCAGGTAGACTCTGAAGTAGAAGTTTTGCACGTTCATTCGCACCAACTGTATACCCCAACGTTGTGAGTTAGGAGAACAGTGTGTTTAAGGTGTTGATGTGGTCGGTCATCGATGTAGATTCCGCCATCCTCAGAGTGTAAAGTCTCATTTTTAAGAAGATTTTGTTGTGCATGGATTTCGCCTCATATAACTTTGTTAGAGTATCCCAGATCTCCTTTGATGTCTTCTTCTCCTCTATGCTTGACAACACCCCGTCTGCTAATGCCAAATGGAGATTTACAATAGCATTTTTATCCATCTCGTTCCACTTCTTATCATCTGTGATGTCGTCCGGCCTTGCACCGATGACCGCCAGGCAATTATCTTTTCTCAAGATAGCCTTTATCTTCAACTTTCACAGTGAGAAATTACTCCCGTCGAATTTCTCGATCTTGAACTTCACCGGCATTGCTTCTACCATGAACAGTAACTTCTTACTATTTCACGTAAATAGTACTGTATTTATAAACAGTAACCGTATCCGTGAATAGTACCGTATTTGTGAACAGTACCGTACTCGTGAATAGTACCCGTCACCTTCAAAGGGTAAATAATAACCTAACTTATTTTCTGATGTGGAGGATCCACCTTTGGTGACAGCCACAGAGCATACGATGAGTAGATATATACAAGTACCCTAAGTTGGCTCTGATACCACTTGTTGGGACAAACCCGGGGCCCAATAGAGCAGGGTCGCAGCAATAGTAGAGCAAAAGTAGAGATAAAATGTTGGACACACAGATTTACGTGGTTTAGCACTTGATTGCCTACGTCCACGGGCAAGGATAAAAGAATTCACTATGAGGAGAAAACTCTGGAGTTACAATCTCTCTTTCTAAGGAGATACTCTCTCTATTTTTTCTCTCACACTCTTCTATATAAGAAGTTGTTTCTGGGATGAGATTTCCTTAAGGATTTGAAGCCTATTTATAGTTTTTGAAAAAATACTATGCACAATAAAATATTAATATTTTACTGTAGCTGTGGGGCCCGCTCTTTTGTTTTCTTTCAAAAAATCAACAAAGGTTGCATTGGATGAAAAAACGTGGGCGGCTGCTTCTATCGGTGCTGTGTCTTTGTTAGGCGCCTGACAAGGTCCACATTAGCATGATCAAGATCCAACCTGAATCTGGCATATGTTCTCACCTTCCCAAATTCAATTTGTGACACGTATGGGGTAGTGCAGTCTGATACTTATTTCAGTCTAGGAGATTCATTGAAGTAATTATAAGCTTTAATAAGTTCCTCAGGAGATAAGTTTTTACCTGCGTGGGCTCGCTTGCACCAATTTGAAGGCATAAACATGAAATAACGAGGGTTTGCGAAATCTCGTTCAAGAAGAAAACCAAGATTTATGATAACATGTTAAAGATGCAAGTAGCTTCGAAGTTGAACATGAAAATCAAATTTCATAAATTAAATGAATAAATATCTCTGGAACCAGGATCATGACCAAATCAAAATTGCATGTACGTTCTTACTGGCTTCACATAGTCTAATGCAGAGGCATAGTACTAAATCTGCTTTATCCGAGTTAGGAAGTTGAAACATCCATGTGTCACAGGAAGCTAATCGTTTGAGTACGAATAGTACGTGCAGACTTTCTACAAATAGGACTTTCATATAAACCTAAATCTCTAGGACAAAAAAACTGTAAGGTACAAATGTGCAATGCACAAGGTACTTTATCTCAAGTAGATGGAAAAGAGAGTATATGTGTTTTTAGTACTTGTAAGGTACCTTCTGATATAGTTCCCTTATTTGGCTTACGTAAATTTCCTCATTAGCTATTGGGGAAACTTGCTTTGCACCTGGATCAAGAGAATGGTGTTTTTAGTACTTGGAAAAAAGTATGAAATGGTTCTTAACTATTAAAACGCAGCATGGAAAGAAGCCAGAAAACCAGAAGAAGTGAGCCAAGTGAGATAACTATAAGGATTGAGGTACATGCCATCTGTGGAAACACGATTTGGTAGGCTATTATGTGGCAATGATTTGGAGAACTTCTGAGAACCCTTCCGCTCCTTCCCTCCTTTGCATCGTCTCTCGACAGGGTTGTAGTTTCTGGAGCCAACTTTCAATTATTATGAGAAAATAAGCTTCTGAATTAGTTTTTCAAATGATAAAAAGGAGTATCATACTCATTCATAATTCCATGAGTTACAGAATCACAGTAGCGCTTCAGCCATTGTAGGAACTCCAAATTGTCCAATGGCCGTCCTTTAACAAGTTTGTTGACTTCAATGTGCTACAACACAGGTGAAATACAGGAACCAAGCATCACTAGTTGAAAATTATTGATGTTTTATCTTAAGAGACAAATAAGCGAGTGACCAAAATAAAACAAGCACAAATAAAAAGGAAAATATATGTTATCCTTATATATCAACTACCTTTTCTATTTTCAGCTTGTTAAACACGTCCTGCAGAAGCTTGTAATTTTGAATCATGTCGTACTCAGTCTTGGCATCAAAATTTACCTAAAAAACAAAATATATTCGAGATTAAATAACATGATGTCTAACTAGGTATGAGGGCAATAAAAAAGAATGAATTACCCTATGCATGGGAACAATCCCAGGATGGACCATGTCCATCATTTGGCACTGGACAGCACCAGATGCTGCCTGCATTATAGTCATTACGTAACAAAGGTGCATTAACTATAAAAACCAGATGAACAACAACAACAGCAGTAAAAGTGTAGCAGAACTAAAGATTTTGATGCTGTCAAACAATATGAGGCCAACTTAGACGCTTCAAATTGTTATTCCGGAATCACTTCACTAAGTAGTACTATCACCGGTTTCTCCCTCATCTACTATAAGATCACAGGGGAAGTATCATAGCATTGTACACAGTGAACATTTCTATGAATTTGGAGGAATGAACCACAACAGGAGTAGATTTCCCGAGACCCAAGAATTTCCGATTGCACCAATCACGCAGTTCAGTTCTCATTTTGCATCTTGTGCTGATATTTTCTTCATCCCCCTACACTGACATGTCTTGATGACGTAGAGAAATACGTAACATTCGGAACGGCAGCCAGCTTTAGAATGTGGATAACCTTTCTTATTAATATCTCTGATATAGGATCCAAATGGGACAGTCAAATAATGCTGCTTGCATGTTGCTGATACAATCTTTTCGTTCAAACAGAAAAAATTTCACCACCTTTCAATTAATAAAGAAATTAAGCAAGTGGAAAATTAAAAGGAAAAAAAAAAGATACTCGGAGCCGGCACCTCTTTTGTAGACTCATCAAGGTGAACTAAACTTTTACAGCTATTATGCTAATACTAGACCAATGTAGATTCACGGAAAAATCGAAAAAAGGGGGTAAAAATGGAACACAAATGTAGTCCATACAATAGTTTGGGGGAAATGATCAAATTAATATAGTATACAATCCCTAATTAGATGTCTCGATCACATTACCCTGTTCTAATTAGAACAATAATTTAAAAAAAAAACTTGACCTTAAATCGACATAACTCCTATGGAAATGAAGGGATTTAAGGGGGGGAAAACCTATTTAAATATCGTAATCTAAATCACATGGTCTCCAATTAAACATAGCTTCTTTCTCCGATCAATTAAAACAAGAACCACGCCAAAAAAAAACCTCGAAAACAAACAAAATAGAGGGAAGAAACCCTAGTTTTTTTTTTTTGGCTGACCTCTTCGACGCGAGAGAGGCTGAGCTGGAGGGTGGCGTTGATCCACGACAGGATCTCGTTCCTCCCGACGAAATACGCTCCGTCCATCATCCCGATCGCCGCCGCCATCTTCGAGATCCAACGGCCGAGATCGCGATCGCCAAGCCTTAACACACAGTCTCCCTCTCTCTCTCTCTCTCAAAACCCGGGAGAATCTAATAATAAACGCTTCAAATTTTCGTCAGGAGAAGTTACCGTCACCGCGGGCCGGTGACGGGATCCCTCCGCGGGTAAAAACTGGTGTGGGGCCCACATCTCTTACAGTTGTCTCTCCGAGCTATTAATAGCAGTCGAACGAAATTTAAATTCTTACGGCCCACCCCCAATGTAATATGGGCTCATCAATCCGGCCCGCTAGTTTCCTGAAACTGGAAAGTAAGCAGTCACGCGCCGTGCGCGTGAGGGTTTCGGTCGCTATATATAAAGGCGATTGCTGCCCTAGGGTTTTGCCTTCGTTCCCCCCTTACTTGGAGAGGTGAGACGGCGAGATCTGAGGGAAGGTGAGCAGGGGTCGCTGCGTCAACGATGGTGCACGTTTCTTTCTATCGAAACTGTATAATTCCTGTCTCTCTTTTTCTCACTATCTCAACCCTAATCTCAATTATTTTGTTATTTAGATCAATTCATTGTTTATACTGCTTCTGTAAGATGTTTTCTTATTTAAATGTGCCATTTTATTTTCCTTAGGCTTATTAGAAATTACTTTAATTTGGGGGTTTCAATAAATTCTGTTTGGAATATGGAAGTTTGAAAAGGGTAATGTTGCGATACAATCATGAATAACGTTTATTTGTCATTGTAGTTGGGTTGGGTTTAGGTATAACTAAGCCCATGAGGAATATGTAAAATTTTAATATTTGTTTGGATGACATTAAACGATTGGTATTTTTTTGTGTGAGAATTAGAAAAAAAATCAACCTTTAGACGTGACATGATAATTATTTAAACATACTATTAAGTAGTAACTTTTAAACGGTCGTTTTATATGGTGATAAATTTGTAATTTTTTCCAGCTGCACTCATAATCCATGTGCATTCTGACAAGTGTAGTAATGGAAAATAAATAGTAGAGGCTGTGGTGCAACGATTCTTATGTTCAAGGGCTGTGTTGCAACAGTTCTTATTGCAATATGATTTATTTGGAGATGAGAAAAAGAGTTGTAATATGTTATTTGGGGAGAGCAAATGGCTGGTCAGGCCAGTTTTGATCATTTTGTATGAAATTGCATCGAACGAGAGGTGAAGACTATACTGAACTGAACAGAATTACTGCAGTTCGGTTCTGCTAGTTCTTTTGGGTTGCAACAGCCCTCATCACCGAGCAGCGGGGCTGCTACCTCATTCTCACTATGAATAGGAAATTATATGAAAAAAACCTCAGTAAAACAGAAAGAGAAATAAAGAAAATGATGATTGAAGATAGAAGAAGAGATGGAAGGGGATTATATAAGGTTGGTAAGTTGGCTTGAAGGCACCTCCTGAGAAAGGAAGCTGCGACTTTGCTTTGGTATTTGCAGGCCTCTATTGTTTTTTTAATGAAACAACTTGCGATTGCTTTGAGTGGGACATTAGAACTCATATGGTGAGTGGAGAGAAATCGGACTTAGGAGTTAGGAGGGTATACCCTTTATAGGGTAAGTTAAGAATTTAAATAAGTGGAGAGAGATTATTCGGTCGGTTCGGTAAAAGTGGGTTGAAAGTTTTTCAACTTGGCTTGAACCCAGATAGACTATAAAAACCAAACAGAAGCATTAAAAATCAGACGACTTTGTTGATTTATTTGATCTAGACCAGAGTTTGTTCAGCCCTATACCATATGTATAAGATAGTTTCATTCGATGTTAAGGATTAACTTAGTGATGGGAATAAGCCTTATGGTATGTTTGGGAGTTCACTTAGGGAAGGAAGGGGAAAAATTCCCCTTCCTTCCCTTTCCCTTCATTACCCCCTAATTTGGGGTGTAACATTTTGGCTCAAATCCCCCCCCCCCCCCCCCCCCTCCTCTACCCTCCTAAATGCAACTCCCAAACAAGGTTAAAATTACATTTCTCTTCCCCTCCCCCTCTCTACCCTCCATCCAAACAGGCCATTAATGGAATTAGATTGAAGAATAGCTGACCCCAAGAATTTGGGATTGAATCTTTGTTGCTTTGGTGTTCCATTCAAACTGCTTTATTTGAAAGAAAGGAATGTTGATTATATGGTTCTAATTTAAAAGTACGTCGTGGTTGTATTTGCTATTGTTTAAATGTAATTTTTGTTGAGTTTGATCCTTTATTTTGGCATTTTATTTAGTCAATTTCCAAATTAAAAAGTGCTTGTAATTTGTTTTCTTGGAAAACTGATTTCTTTACCTCCAAATTTTATATGCAGATGGCAAGACCTTTAAGAAACCACGCCGTCCATATGAGAAGGAAAGGCTTGATGCCGAGTTGAAACTTGTCGGGGAGTATGGTCTTAGGTGCAAGCGAGAACTCTGGAGGGTACAGTATGTCCTGAGCAGAATCCGCAATGCAGCGAGGCAATTGCTTACTCTTGACGACAGGGATCCTCGCCGTATCTTTGAGGGTGAGGCTCTTCTTCGGAGGATGCACAAGTACGGTCTTCTTGATGAGGAACAGAACAAGCTCGATTATGTCCTTGCCCTGACTGTGGAAAACTTCTTGGAGCGCCGCCTGCAGACGCAGGTCTTTAAGTCAGGCATGGCTAAATCAATCCACCATGCCAGAGTTCTTATCCGACAGCGTCATATTAGGTAAATTTCTGCTAGATTTTCAGATGAGTTTCATGGAGAATTCTTTTTAATCATTATAAATAGTAAAATATGCAGTTGTTGATCTCATTGCATAAATTTATTTGCAGCGTGTGTAGTCCCCTTATCAGTTATTAGATGCTTGTGTCTTGTAATTAAGTCACAAACAAATTCTGGAATTAGTGTGCTATGCAACAAAGTCTTAATTATCATTTATTATAGTTTTATCCTTGAATTTAATTTTTACGGAATTATGTAGAAATGTTGTTTTCGTATGTATTAAGATGTTAAACATGAAACATGTTCTTGTCCATCCATGTTGATAAGGCCATACTATGACTGTTCTCAACATGGCATGCAGAACATTGTTTGAGCTGTATGCAATTCGAGCTAAAATATGATACGAACTCCTTAGCACTCTACAGTGGCGTAGCCAGAATTATTTTTTGCTTTGGGTGAAAAATAAAGATGGTTTACCCGTATGTCGTGAAGGAGAGGAGGGAGGCGCGGGAGAGGGAGGAGGGCTGGGGATTGTTGAGATGGAGGTCTTGGAAGAGGAGGGAGAGGAGATTGGATCTGCAGGAGAGGGAGGTGAAGTGGCGGGAGAGGAGGGGAAGCGAGGGGAGGAGGGAGAGGTCGTGGGAGAGGCGGAGTTTCTTGCCCTGGGCAGCTGCCCAGGGCAAGCAAGCTCTGGCTACGCCACTGGCACTGTAGAATAACATTAAAGAAAGTAGGGGGCGTCCTTTATTTTATAGATATCCTGTGATGAACCACTTGTACTACCACTAATGATTTTCTCCACACTATATAAATATAGTCTTCCTTTAATTGTTGCAAGGATCTATTAATATGCTTTAAAGAATTGGTTTTTCTATCTCCTTCTGGGTTGATATGAGAATTTTGTTTCCTGAAATATAGAGGATTTTGTGTTTTCTATTTTATAATTTGTAAAAAGAATGCTTTGCTAAAGTTTATTGATGGGAGTCCTTTGAACTGCTATTCTTAGTCTCTAGGCAAGAATAATTTAGGATTCATTCTGAAATTAAAATTTTCTCGCAACTCTTTGTCAAGGCTTTAACTTTGCTTTAGTACGGATATGCTACCTTTTATACTTTCTGTTTTAGGGCTCTGTGAGGTAAAGCTAGAATTTTTGTTTGTCTTGATACATTAGCATCCGATGAAAGAAAGATCTCCTTGTTAAGCAACTTGATTAGAAATATATTGCAAATTGAACTCTTGGAAATTAGTCTACACACTCACTTATCCAAAATCTCCATGGGCGTGTTT